GTTAATACGCCACACCAGTTACTCGTTTGAGGCTGAGTCGACCTAGGGGAGGTTCAAATAATCGTCACCGGTGGTGGCCGTGAGCGGGAATCGAACTCGGTTCGCCGGGTTGGTAGCGCAGCGTAGCGTTAAGCACTACACTCACCGCTCCTCACACACCACACACGCACAGACACACACACAGACACACGCAGACACACACAGACAGACACAGACAGACACACACACACACAGACACACAGACAGCACGCTAAGCACTACACTACCGCTCCCCACACACCACACACGCACACACACAGACACACACACAGACACACACACAGACACAGACAGCACGCTAAGCACTACACTACCGTTCCCCCTACACAACACACGCGCGCGCGTCCATAGGTACACATACACGCGCTTGCTGCAGACACACACGACTTTCAGGGTGCGTAAGGCAGTAAACGACTGAAATAATAAAGCGGCAATGCTGTGCGAGGAACGCCTTAGACCAGCAACACATTTGTGTAATGCGAGCGTAAACACACAAACACATACAAACACATACACACACATACATACACACACATACACACAAACACATACACACACATACACACACATACAAACACACAGACATACACACAAACACACACATACATGCACACAAACACATACACAATACACACACACATACATGCAGACACACAGACAGACACGTAACACACATACATACACACACATACATACACAGAAACACATACACACACATACATAGACACACACATACATACACACAAACACATGCACACACGTACATACACACATACATAGAGACACGCAGACATACACATAAAGACATAAAAAAAACCCACATACATACACACACACATACACACAAACACATACATACACATACAAACACACATACATAGAGACACACAGACATACACATAAACACAAACACACATACACATGACCCGGCTTCGCCCGGGACTTGGATCCACGATGCCCCGCCGCCTTTGTCTCCCCAGTGACGATGTTCACACACGACAGCAGTTACGCTTTTGAGGCTGAGTGGACCTAGGGGAGGGCCAGGTCCGTTTCAAATAATCGTCAGCGGTGGTGGGCGTGAGTTGGAATCGAACTGGGGTCGCTCAAGCAGCTTAATGACTGTTTGTACAAAGAACATATAAAGAATCGATTATAATAACCAGGCAAGAGTCCACATTATAGACTGCCAGTACACGCACTCAGCTTCATAAGCAGGCTAGAGTGTACATGATAGAGTGGCAGTACGCTCACCGAGCTTAATAAGCAGGCTACAGTGTACATGATAGACTGGCAGTACGCTCACCCAGCTTAATGAGTATTTGTACAGTGAACATTAAAGTAATCGATTGTTGGCGCGTTGGGTTTAAAAGTAATATTAATAGCACACATTGTGGTGGGGGTGTAGTGAAGAGTAGGAAAAACTTTGATGAATTTACCTCAGAGTGGCGTGGTGGGTGTCGAGGCCTAGTAGCGTGCAAAGCCTGCGGCCTCGCCTAAAATTGTCGGCTTGGAAAAGGCAGGGTACGGGTGGCGTTCCTTCCCCCCCCCCCCCTAGCGCTCCAACAATACTGTGTAATGGCTATTATTTAATTAAATACGGAGCTTATGAAAGTGGCGAAGGCGTGGCTAGCCGTTGGCAGGGGCAACCGCCGTCCAATGAAACTGCAGCCCTTGGCGAAGGCGTGGCTAGCCGTTGCCAGGTCCAATGAAAGCGGCGAAGGCGTGGCTAGCCATTGGCAGGGGCAACCGCCGTCCAATGAAAGTGCGTATGGGCCAAAGTCCACACACACACACACAGACAGACATGAACGATTTTATATATATAGATTATATGAAGCTTCTAATAAAGAGTTGAGTCATTGAAATGATTGGTTGATGTGGCTTTTTATATATATTATATTTTTATCAAAGAAATTCGAGGATAAAAAGTGCAATTACGATGCATATTTCATTAAGACGCTGCCATGGATATTGAGTTACGTTTCATAATTTTTGGGACACCGTGAAAAGCCTTTTAGCGATCTCCTTGCATTAAGTGATGGAATAAATTCCATATTTATTTCAATTGAAAAGTCAAGGCTATATATAGTATACACTGGAAGGCCACTGTAATATATATGTTGCTGTATCTTATAATGACATTTATATCACACTTTTCACATCTACTTATTGCATATAACTGAATTTTAGTTCGGTGAAATGGTGCCTGTATTCACACCCACTCATGTAGGGTTTTTTTTACTCATTACAGCCACAGAATGGCGGTGAAATGCTTTAGATTCAACAGCAACGAAAATGGCAAATGTTAGAAAAGGTATCAACAAAATATCTGAGCGATTAAGTAATTAACTATAACGGGCACCACATCCGTGAGGAAATGTCAAATACAATTGGGAGTTTATTTAAGTCATATTCTGAAATGACTGCAAGACCGTTATGTCTTAATTAGGCCCTCTTAATACCACTAAGATCTATTCAAAATTATACTAAAGTTGACCACTTATGTGAGCAATCGTGAATAGCATGTTACTGAAGCAATTAATCAGATATCTCACATATCGAGGCCTACATAAAACATTTATGAATAATAATTAAACCAATTACGAAATTGGAACATTCCCTTAAACAAATGCAACAATAAATGTTTGAATTTGCGTAATCTGGCCTGGTAATAGATGCCCATACACTCTGGGATATATGCTTCGTTTATAATTAAAAGTTGAACAATGTATCAGTCAATCAAATACAAACAGCAATTCATATAGTACCTTACTCTCCGATATTTTGTGTTTGCCAATGAAATGACTAAGCAGTCATGTAAATACCTGGTGTACCAATAGGCAGATGTAATATCCAGGTAGACTTGCATACGTAGATAAAGGATGTCGATTTGTGTTGACGTTGTATGGTTGCCAAATTGGGAATGCACACGGATGCTCATTGCAGTGAATCTATTGCACTCCTTTGTGTAAATCTACCACTCACACTCATCGCATGTCGCAAGGTACACAGCGTCGTATATCCAACTCGCTGCGAATGTGTGAAGAGGTTGCATTTGTGAACATTCATAGCAAGTGACAGTTAAACCACCATTGCACAAAGAGGTTACTGGACAATTATGCAGCACAAAACCGTGCCAAACATGGGGACAATGTTTGACTGTGCTTTAAAAGCAAGCGAAACGTACGCCGACATTAAGGACACTTTACGGTATTTACTGCGTGTGAAAAGGTTGCATTTGTGAACATCCATAGACAATTAGCTGCACCCCACACCAACACGGCACTGGGTGTGAACGGCGGATATATCCTGGGGGATTCGTGACGTTGCACTGTGCCCTAAACCAGTGAATGAAATGCTCCCGGGCAGATTCACTGCACAGATTTGATGAGTTTGTTGCACGTGGGGTCAATGATTTAGAAATGAAATGTGGTGGTGGTGGCGAGGCTAATAGCTCATTGCAAGAGCCCATATATAGTCGTAGGTCTCCCAACTATGATAATAACAGTAATGTGCTGACATCTTCTGAATGCATGATGGCAGGTCTGCCGTGTGGCAGTTGTTGATCGGAGCTGTTTAACGGCATGGGTAGAGGTCAGACCCCATCAGGAAACCAAGACCTCCCAGGCACGCTTGCTGTGTCATTAATCCTATGGCATTATTTGCCCATAAATCTAGACCACAATTATAGATATGGTGACGACTGCACCTCCCATATGTTGCGAAATGGATTTTGATTGATCAAGTTAGGAAAAATGCATTTCTTTGTCACTGATTGATGGCGTGTGGCTGCCAGCACCTTCCATGCCAAATTGGGTTTTTACCATGTGATGTCCTAGGTGCTGTTCACCTTGTTCGTTGCCATCTGAAACAGTTATATTATGTACGAACCTATTCTGCCTGCCGTGCATTCGTTTGGAAGCTTTGCGTATTTGATTGAGCGCGTGTTACTGTGGTTTTTCTATTTTGAGTTAATGCGTTTGCTCAAGCTGCATAATTGTGTTGTGTCGCTTCGCCTTTCATTGTCATTTACTAATTTAATCTAATTATAATTATATGTCACAAGGTGTAACGCTGTGAAAATTACGTTACATGAAAAACGGCAAGATACGAATGATCGATATACAGTAAAAAAAAAACATTGCAGCAGAATTTACGATTCTCTTGTGATATTCACACAATGCCAGCAGGACCAGCGCGAACGACTCAGTTGGTGCCGATCATGACCAACTCCTCGAGCTCGGCTAAACACCAAACATCCTTTTCCACTTTTTGTCCACTGCCCATCGTTATTTAACCAAAATTCACTTCTTACCACATTCTTATGGGTCATAAAGGGCCATTTAGAAACCTATATGTTTTTTCTTCTTGGTTCTTTCGATAAAGTCACGTAGAAGGGAAGTAATAAAATAATAAAATAAAACATAATAAAATAATTCTCACGACGTTTCGGCCACAACGCAAGCAGCTGTCCTCAGGTGACGGCTGCTTGCGTTGTGGCCGAAACGTCGTGAGAATTATTTTATTATGTTTTATTTTTATTATTTTATTACTTCCCTTCTACGTTACATTACCGAAAGAACCAAGCAGATGAATTCCTGCAGTCACGAAACCTTTAAATCGAAAACTATGTTTTTTTTTACTATCAAGTATTTGCGTGCGCAATTTGTATCCACCTCGCTGAAACTGCCGTCTGTAATTCTTTAAAAACGCGGACACATTTATTGGCAACGTGCATACTACTTGTAACGAACGCTTTTACAGCCGTGCTCATAGCTCTCCAATGTGTCATCGAGGTGAACCGCGTGTTCGTTCGGCGCTGTGTCCAACGTTTCGCACCACGTGCCGGCTGGGAGCTTCTTTGGGAACATGATGCGCGGTACGCGTCGGAGATCAGAAGCGCTAGAGCGACGACGCAAGTGTCGTGAAAGCTGCTGCAAGTGCGGCCACCGTCCCCGCACCTTCTCCCAGGCAGTCCCGCAGCTGCTCGTCCCACTCGGCGAGGCTGCGCGGCGAGTCGAAACCCAGCAGCAGCACCTGGGTGAGGGAGATGATGGCCAGCACGTGGTCGCATCCCTCGAGCGACAGGCCGCCCTGCAGGCCGCACACGCTCTCCAGGAAGAGGTCAGCCCTCTCCCGCTCGCTCTCCAGCCTCTCCTTCTGCTTGTCCCTCTCCTTGTGCCGCTCGCGCTCTCCCTTGCCTCTCTCCTTCTTGCTCTCCACGATGCAGCTGTCTCGCCTGTCCTTGAAGGCGAGGAGGTTGAGGCAGTCTGCGGTCGACATGGTCATTTGAAAACAACAGACTGGGGGGATGTGCTCACAATTTCCGGATTAATTCGAAAAAATGTCCCCCAAATTGGGACGAGGCACGAGGTTCTGGAAGATATTCATGTTTTGTGTCACGGGAAATAGCTTCACGTCACTTCGCTTTCATGTTTTTTTACCTCTTAAAGTGATGTCACGTGGCATCAGGCGTTGTGACTTTGTTAGTAGAGCGACACGTTCAGTTTGCATCTTTAAAAATGGAAAATTTTGGAACAATCTTCCCTACAACACAGAAGTATAGTATGTGGGAACTTGAGTATGATCAAACGCTGAGGAGGCTTTAATTTGCATGCATCAGGAGCAGGTATTTGGTTGGTTAATTGGAATACAGAGGTTAATCGCTTCATTGAAATACAGTTCAATACACTAGTACGGGGCTTTTAAAAGAACCAATATTTTTCTGGCAGAAGCAATGCATTCAATTAAGCCTGCCTTGTGGACAAACAAAGGCCTGCAGTTCCATTCTAATTAAGCAATTAATGGTCCGTACAAAATGATTAAATGTGGTAAAGCAATCTGAGTGGGCTCAGCTCCCCCAAAATGTAGACACGAGCACTTGTTCGATATGTGCACTCATAATAGTTATATATTTTAAAATATATAATTTATACACAAGTATACTAGAATGTAATTATTTCAGTGATTAAAACTATATATATTGTTCTTACTATTAGTACTTAAGGCCAATGTTTACGAAAATAATATCCCAATAAACATTACTCTTACAGATAAAGCAATATGTGCACATGGAAATGTCAGATATTTCATTTGTTCCACAAATGCAACAAGGTCAAATATCGTGACAGAAAAGCTTCTATGTGGTATATATAGATAAATTAGCAAAATGATTTTGCTGCATTTCCATATACAATGCATCACTGATTTACCCAGTCCGTAGAAAATTTATTTTCCATGTTAATTTTAGCACAGTCATTCATCTTTCAGCTGCATTTACGTAACTTGGAATATTTCCTGCGTTGCTAATAAAATGTTAAAACAATTGCATTTCACCTGTCTAATGATCACAAATGATCACAAACGAAAAGCCTCAATGTTATTCAGATTAATATTTTAGTGACAAAAAACATTTGGTAATATTTCACATCATGTAAAAGTGTTGACTGCCAAGCCCTCTCTTTGCCTGTTCCTTTATTCCTCCCCCGTGCCCAAAAGCATGATTAGGGCCACCAGTGCATTATTGGCGCAAACGTTTTCCATGAAGCTTCCCAATCTTGAAATCCAACTTTTGGTATACACTGACAGTGGTGGTGGCATCTGAGTGATATTGGATCACTGTGAGACCATATAACCCACTGGTTTTCCAGATGGCCCTCAACATAGGACATGTACACTGGGTTTTTTTTCTGTCGCCGCTAGCATAGTGTAGCTTGTGAGGACACGGGGCTGCTCGTCTTCATTTCGACCGTTGTCACCAGACAAGCGCTAACGTGCGGAGCAATTGCTCGGTTTGCTCTATATTTCGCGTGCTAATGTTCCACGAGCGCATTCATATATAAAGAAGCGTGCTCTACCATTTTTCGTTTCGGTTAAAGACAAAAGGATTGGCGCTCCTCTTATACAACTAAAACTAAAGTACACATTTGTACCCGTCACAAGTAACATACGTTACTTTGTCGTGAATAATTGAGCAAAAGAAGACAAAATAAAAAAATAAATTTCTAACGGAAGTCGACATCCTAAATGGGCCATTATGCAAGCCACGCAGTGAGGGTGAGAAAAATACAGAGCCCTTCAAATCTAAAGTGGCAAATGGCCCACAGGTGGGTCATATGAACCCCACAGAGAAGGTGCCATACGACCCACATGCGGGTCGTATGGCAGTCAACGTGTTCAATTACACAACGCCAGTACATCTTATTACGATTACGTTCGAATGACCTAATAGACATGTGTTGCACAACTCCACTTGCTCAAGGCAATCACGTGGTCTTCTCAACATTATATTTTTTAACATGATCGTGTTGTCACGTTATAGACTCAGTGTAATCACCTTTGGGTTCTTTGTTTGTTCCACTTTCTCTTCCCTTGATAATAAACCAATTATAATGAGAATGCAAGCGACATAGATATCGGATAAATTCATATCAGATAGCTCAAGCAAAGTGTTGGGGCTGATAAGACGAAAATAGTCCGATGGAAGCGGTCACCATCATGCGTGTCTTTTCAAGTACGTAAGATCTCCCCCCCCCCTCTCTTGTATTTTTCCTATCTATTAATAAACGGAGATGCAGCAGCTACAAAAACACACGCTGCACCTTGCGACTTTAAATAACAATTATTATGTTACATAATTTCCCGTCGGCAGAGTCCTGTGAACCGTCTCCCAGGACTTCTGGACCTCTCTCATTGGCTCCAGCGAGATTCTTTGTAATCACGTGGCCCAGAAATGTGGACTGCGGCCAGGGCATCACACTTCTAATCACGCAGCCACACCACTTGGAAAAAAGGAAAAGACTTGTTCACATTGAAACGTACCTCCGTCAACATAAACCCTTGCAGTGTGCATACATGTGCATGGCTGTTGAGAGGCGATGTCACAATTTTGGGTCTTAGAATTACATTCGGTCACGCGTGGAATACCTTACGTACTCTCATGCGCAACTTACGCAGCAACCAAGATTAATCTCACAACGTGCTGTTTTTTTTAGATTTGAAGTTTACGTGACTGCAAGGATCCATACTCTTTGGTTTTTTCTGTAAAGTCACGTTGGTAAAAAATCTAAAAGAAATGAAAAATGAAAACAAATAAATTAAATCACGACGTTTCGGGCGCAACACAAGCGTCCTTACCTACGTGACTTTACTGATACAACCAAAGAGTATGCTGTTTTCTGTTCTAATCTTGAGACATGGAATGAAGTATCATCATGATCATCAGTAGCCAGAGTAAATCCGCTGCTCGATGAAGGCCTTCCCAAGCCGCCCCCATTTCATAGAATCCTGCCATATGATGATCCACCTGCACCCGCACGTGAGCTCATCTCATCGTTCCATCTCCATGGCGGGGCGTTTAAAAAGTAATATTTTATTACACACAGTTTGTGCGAGTTAAGAAAGCTATCGAACACGAGGGGAAACGTATATGAGCCTGGAAATTTGATATATATATGGCATATAGTACTGTGAAAGTATGGGATTTTACACCATTGGAACCTCATTTGCCAGTAAAAAATATGATAATTGTTTTTTTACCCTTCTATCTGGCAAAGGTGTCAGTTTTGTTGCCAGATAGAAGGGTAAAAAACCAATTCTCTTATGGGATGTTACGCAATAATGTATTACAAATATATACAGTATCATACAAATAATTCCACATTCTGGGGGAATTATCCATCATTAATATAAAATACTGTTGCTATACCTTTCTTCTGATGTATAGAAATTTAAAAGTAACATGCCATTATTTATTACATTTCATGTTCCGAATGATTTTGATCGTGTTTGCCGCTGTATTGATTGGTAGGTGTTGTAAACCTACACCATTGTTACACAATTTAAATGTTAAGGTACTTTCCGCCGAAATTATGACATGTCTGTTTTCCACTTGTTCATTTTTATATAGTTTATGGTATAGCTTTGCCGTCAATCCCCTGCTAGATGAATTTTTTTTTGTAACACCGTGTCATGGGTATTATTTGACCATAATTTCACCACGATGATTTTCAATGCGGGTTGGTAAAGGAGGGGTCCAAGACCTAACCAGAAAACTATAGACAGACATATAAGCAGACAGATATCACCAAGATACATAGAGAGAGCAACACAGGTTGGTGATATCTGTCTGCTTATATGTCTGTCTATACAGTTTTCTGGTTAGATTTTATGTTGCTATTTCATTATACCTGATGATGATTGCTTGTGTTGCAATCGAAACGTCGTATGCTATTATTTAATTTATTATTTTATCTGTATACGTGACTTTACCGAAAAAACCAAAGAATAATTCCTGCAGTCACGAAAGCTCCAAAATTAAGATTGGGTCCAGGACCGTTTCCAATATAACCTGCCGCTAATGTTAGCCATGGACGAGAATCAAACTCAGATTGCCAGGTTCATAGCACAGAGTGCAAACTACTGCACCACCGTCACCCCCTTCGCACATAGCATACCCACGAACGCCTTCGCAATGGGGTTTCTTATACATAGTTAACGTGCTGCAATGTTTTATTAGTTTAGTGTGAGAAGCATATTTTCTTCGCATCGGGACTTCAATGTGAATGATGTTTTAGTGGCACAGCAGGCAAACAAAATACTGGCACCTTTATGAAAATGAACCCTATTTCCAGTTAATGCATTTCATCTGTTCTTGTGAACAGCGCTCGTGGTTCATTAAAGCCATGTACGACCGGTCATGCTGCTTGACCAGCTGTTGGCATGTTCAATCAATCATGCTGGAATATAATCGCGAGAACTATCCGCAATGAACACACGTGGCGTGTAAACAGGTAGAGATTTCCACGGCTCTGCCGTGCATTTTCAAACATTAAATAGTACACGCATGTATTATTGTTTTAACAAAGGAGTTGTTACAAAACATTAGTGCATGTATTACATTTATTCACCTGTAAATTATCACTTAAATAATTGTATATATATTTGTATGACGATGATTCGGGAATACACAAAAAACACATTTTATTTGCATGAATCTATAAAGTCAGTTATTTTGCGTGTGTTTATATAATGTAATGTGAAAACATTGATTGGCCGGCAAGCACACACGTCACTTAAAGAAATGTTATTTGCTGTGCCATACATCATCAGGTTTTAACGAGCATAGCAAAGAAATATCGCACTTATATAATCCTTTTCTCACGCTATTAATACAGCGCTATCCGTGTCCTTCCCATTCCGACGTGTTCCTCTTCAGTTGAGTCGCAGTGAAATAGTTAAGTATATATATGTACATGCGCGCGCTAAAAAGAAGAAAAAAACACATGATATTCAGCAAACCTACAGCAAGTAAGTTGCCTGACCAGCAGAAACCACATTCACACAGCACTATTCAGCCTCTCGAGTCCCAGTCTCGCGCATGTGAAAGCGCGTTTGCGGCGTTAAAAAAAAACCGCCTTCCTAATCCGCGCACTTTCCACGGCGAGAAATACATTTTGTAGCAAATCCTGGCTCTGCGAAAGAAACGCCGGCCAAAGCAAAGCAGACCGGGCTTGAATCGCGGCACAATGTTCGACGTTGTCGCATCCCCGTCGACCCTTGAAAAGAAGAAGGCGATGCAGCGGTAACGGCGCAGACGCGAGCGGCCGAGCGTCAACAGCCCAAGGCGGATTTATCTTTCCCTGCGCAGCTGACTTACCGGCCACGGGCGAGGGCTTCTTCAGCACGACCCATCGCGTTTTCCACTGGACGAACAAGACAGAGTTACCGAGGGAGAGGGAGAGTGTCGTTGTTGAAAAATTAATTGGAACTCACAAAAAAAAAGGAATAAGAAATGTAATAACAAAAAGGAACGCAACAAACCTTTTTCCCTTCCCTGAGTTTCACGGAGCCTTCAGCTACCACGACATCAGTCATCTTTCGATCGGGGCACACACGGATACATTTTCAAGCCAGAGTTTAAAATTAGTCTCAAAGGGAGAGGCCCCGGTGCCTGCCAACTCAGGCCTTAGCGCTGCCCCCGAGAGGAATCCCCGAGGCCCTGCCCGAACCACAAGCAGCCCTTGATTCATGCCACGTCGCAAGGAATCGCTGAGCGTACAGTAATGAGAGCACACTTTCATAAATGGGAAGTGGAGGAGGACACGGGCACTCTATCTGTCAATGGCAGCATGGCGATGCCACCAGATGATCCGTTGTTTAATGCTGCAATTACTCCGAGCCAGACTCGAGGCGCATAACCTATTTGTAATGCATGTTGTGAATAATATTAAAAGCAGTTATGCATTGCAGTGCCGCAGTGCTGTGATTTTTCAGTATAATGCGGTTTCAAATCATTGATAAAGCTTTCATTGGTAGATAGTTTTTTTTTAATATATTCTATATGCGAAGTGAGTGCAATTTTGGTTTTGAAAAAATGGTTGGTGAATGGAGCATGACCCTGCTCCTGCAATTTTTTTTCTTTTCAGATGTTGTCACTTAGATGGCAGATTGTATCATGTTATTAAAGATGGTGGTGGAGCCCGAATTATAACCACACATTAGAAGAACATTATCTCCTTTTAGTATTTTTGTCCACTGCGATTTGGGCGATCACTGCACAAACTGTGGTCACACTTACAAATGGGCGGAATGACTGCAATCGCATGTGAACATGTTTGCAATGACAAAATAAGTGGGACGCCAGTTGGTGGTTCAGCTTCAACATTGTGTTGACAGGATGATTTGAGATGACGGACAAGTCGAAATTAAGCACATATCAGTGGCTGTGCGGATTCGTGTGTGCAGAGTTGATTGAGTAATCCATGACAAGTTCAATAACCAAGAAGTTTGTGCTCAACAGGTGTCAAACATTACACGAGTGAGGTCATAAAGAAAACAGGACTTGTATCTGTGGTGTCTCATTGGCTATGTTTGTGTGTGAAATCAATGCATTTGTTTTTATCTCAAAGCAGCCATTTGCACACATTTGTAAATGTTTCCACAGTTCGCATGATTATTGAAATGTTGCAGGTTGATTCTTGAATAAAGTATGAATTGTCGTTATACCCTCAGGGGACACAAACATGAAAAGCAGATTGCTGCTCTTATAATGTGCAGTTGTGCAAGGGCGTTGCCATTTTTGATCACGTGATATGTTTGCAATTTAGTGGCACAATTTGGAAATACAGATGAGAACCAGGATCGTGCCCCGTTCACTATGCATTTGTTTACATATGTCACGCTAAAATAAGTTTAAACTATATTAAAATTGTATTTGCTTACTGAAACATATAACACAATAATTGCAAGCAATTTTCTTCTTCACGTCTGTATTATTGATTTGCATTGTACATTGCAACGTATGATTGTGTTGGTGGAAATTGCTCACACAGAAGGCAACAACAGTATAGCATGCATTTACAAGACTTCATGCAACACATCATACACAAACGGATAAAACAATAGATGAATGGTACTGCACTCGATATGAATATACATACATACACTGGGATTCTGTCAGTGGTTTAATGGCGAGCACACCCGGAGATTAACCGGGTCAAACTCCGCGCAACGGAAGTTGGAACAATGAGCAAGTTCCTTCAGCACCCGCAACTCTGTCCACACAGCAATATGTGCATGGGTAAGCCACAGTCGATCGGCAGATTGTGCCCTATGGTGTGATAAAGTAAGGGGCCGTCCATAAATGACGTCACGCACCTGGGGGGGGGGGGTCAGACATTTGTGACGATGTGAGACGAGAGGGGGGGGGGGGAGAAATGTGACGTCACATAAAAATGCGCAACTTTAATAAATATAGATAACACGTTCTACTTAATTAAATAGACTTTTTAATAAATTTTTTCTCCTACAACATCAGAGCGCAGCGCCACATCAAATACGCACTACAATGACAATAGTTTAAAGCGATTTGAAGCATGTTTTTTTTTTTTGGGGGGGGGCAGAGCTTTGTGACGTCATATTTGAAGGGGGGGGTCTCACTTTTTGTGACGCCGTGTGACGATGGGGGGGGGGGGGGTCAAAAATCGTCCAAAATCGCGTGACGTCATTTATGGACGGCCCCTAACCACATTTTCGAAGACTTCTGACCAGCGTGATGGAGTCGACCAAAATTCTCTCTAGACGGGTACTCAAGACCGACCTCTAGTGGAAGCTCTTTCACCAGCCGTGAGAAATTCGTTGCAGGGGCTTGCACATTGGCCTCCTGGCGAACGGGCACATGTGGGACACTCATTCCACTGGAAAGTTATGGATGTACAGTAACTCACAATATACAGGAAGGTAAGGAAACATCTGCTGGCAGTGCTTTACAGAAAATACGTGGCAATGGTGTACAGTATTGTATTGTATGTTTTTACCAAACCAAATGACATCATTGGCCTCCCATTCCACCCTTGCACACTTATGCACACTGTAAAAGAGTTAAAATCATCCAAACGTGTGTAAACGTTAACAATAGATTCATGTTATTTAACTAAACGTTTCCAACAGTACATTTCCTTTGAAACAAGAAACAAGAGTGATGACATGAGCCGCAATTACATTTCACTATCGGCGTTTGCAAAGCTGCTGCATTCTTTTTTTTGCGGGGGGGGGGGTGGAATAGGCAAATGCCACTTAAAATCTGAGACAAGTCGTTGTATCGTAGCGAACACAATTTGGTTCAAAGTAACAGCCTCCGCGGGCTGACGAGCGAAACGCATTAATGTGGCCGCTATTCTTGGTAGCGACGCGTATAGCTCTGCTCTCATTATAATCTTCGCAGGGGCTCGCTTGCTTAATTACAGAGATCACGGCGATGCCTTTCCAAACAGTTATCCGTATCCGTGTTGCCACACTTGTGCTCTGGTTGTAAAAACATTGGTCACGCTAGCATGCGGGAGATTGCTAATTTTTGCAAGGGTGGCACAGTCGGGGTTTTTACAACCGGGTTTAATTGTGTTTTTATATTAAACCCGATCATCTGAGATTGGGAGAAATCCGGTTTAATTGGTTCTAATTGTAGAACCGCACTTCGCCAACTTCTCAACGATGGGCTTCATCCATTCCAAGCTAAGGAACTCACTGGCGCCCACAATTGTGGAGAAGATCGTGTTCATCACGACCAACCTGCCCGCCGCATTCTACGACTACCCCGTGCCCGACGGCCCCCGAGTACGATAGCAGCACCGACGAGGAAGCAGCCTAAGCCTTGGATCAGAGTTTCGTATTCATTAAACCAGGTTTTAATTCCCCGAAATCGGGGTTAATTGTATTAAAGAAAAAACCCGATGCCTGCCGCTGGAAAAATCGGGTTTTTTCCACCCATTCATTTTTGCCGTTATGCCTTCGTCCGTGGGTAAAAAAAAAATATCTCCCAAAGATCACGTTTGCCGCAAAGCGCTGAAGCCAATCGCAGTTTTCGCCACTCTTGGCGAAGAGCTGGTTTCCCACGTAGGTGTGTGTACGTCAACTCAAGCAATGTCTACGTGTGCATTTCCATGCCCGTGGCCTTTATCAAAGTGGTGCCACATGGAAGCATGGTGAAGTAATGTTTTCCATGGCATCAACCGCTTATTGTAGGAATTAAAAAAAAACGTTTTACACATTGCTCGCATACATTCAAAAACAGTGCCATGGATACCCACATACACAATTAAATGGACTTTAGAAGGTAAGCAATGTTTCCAAGCATGGGAAGCGGTGGATATAATTTATGAAGTCGGTTGAATGAACGTTTCTTCTACATCTTGAAATAAAGTACAGTACTAATTTTTTTCACCTTTTTCAATTATCATCGGCCATAATTAACCTACTCGTCTCCACAAGCCACCTCCGTCTTTCGCAGTGCTGTGAGATAACGAGCACCAGCACACGAGCCACTATCTTTGCTCCATCTCCGCATTGTACGTCCTCTCAGGCACGTCCCCTGCCTCCCTCTTGAACATACCTCGATTATTTAATCCACGTGTTCCCCTGTCTCTCATCTCTCAAATGTATTGCAAACTTGCATCTGGCCATGCTTATTTGTGCACTTACCAACGTTTCGTTCCATTTTCTTTGTCCAAGTTTGGCATCAATGCCATAGTCGGAAATATTCCTTAATTACTTTATATTTACCACATTAACTACAAGAGGTGGAATAATGCATCGATTCAGGAATCGACATTCTTAAGCTCACAATTCAATTATTGAATTGTGTAAGAATGGCCTTTTTATTTAATATTTATATTTCCGTCGCCTGCAATGGGTTCACTTGAACCCTGCAGTTACCAGCGGAAATTAGGTTCATGACAATATATGAATAATTATTCAATAAAGTCACAGCACTGAATTTTATCAATGAATTTCATCTCTGATGGGAGGTAAATTGTTATACCCCTACTGAGTACAACATGTTTAAGATACAAATAATGAGGAGTATGGATTAAGATGTTTAAAAAAAAACAATGACATGTATTGAAATTACATGTGGTTCACAGCCTATTATTATCTACATGTTCTATTCCATACAGTTGTAGTAAGTATATATGGAGGCTTGACGACAGGATCGGAGGCACACTTATTTATTACACCAACACAGTTGTACAGGTCACTTGGCTACAGGGATTTCTCGACAGCTAACCCCTCTAACTTATACCAACTCCTCCACTACGGGACTAGGGGAGGCTATCTGTCCCAGCTTGGTTAAGCTGGGATCCCGGCTCCCTGAGTCACCAGACCAGCTTCGTCTGGGCTCTCGGGGCCACGCCACCGGCTTGCCCTGGTCGGCCCTTAGAAGGACAGCGAGCCAGGGGAGCTCCGGGGCCTATACTAGCAGGTCTTCGTTCTTCTCTGGTTAAAGCTGAGTCCCCACTCCCGAGCCTTTCGGCTCATCCCCTTTTATAGGACTTGCCCCCAAGGGGGGGGCCCGTGGGGGATGTACATGCGGACGTCGGTGCGAGCGCCACCCCTGTGTACGGCCGTAACCCCGCCCTTTGTGTTTGTTGGCCATCCGTGGCCATGCATAATCACACGACACCTTTCGTAGCCATGCGCAATTACACCTCTACATCACCCC